ATATGTTCCCTAATCAAGTGAACGAGGGCATGCTCAATTCATCCATGAAAGGGGGAGGGGGGATTTGGCCAAATATCTGTTTCAAAAGGGGTCAACCGTGGTGGCTTTTTATTGCCTTAAGTTTGAGGCTATGCCAGAATACAGAACCATCTTTCACAAATCAAGAAATAATAAGACATTTCCTTCCTGTTGCACTGCACCCTATGTGACTTTTTTCATTATCATGTTTTCAGATTTTTACAAAGCAAACCTAATTAAGAAGCTCTCTCATTAGTCTTCCAGAAAAATTAGCACAGCTTATGCTAATTGCTCCTGTAAAATTTAATAAACTCATTGAAATGGGAATAGTCTAATGAGGTTTTATTTATTGAACTAGAATAACTATATGGGAGAAAAGAGGTTAGGACATAAGAATATCCAATGTAGCAATAAAAATACAATGTATTCCAGCCCTGCCTAGGAATTTTATGGCAAACCTTTTAAATTCAAATTGGAGGCACTATCGGTTTGGAATATAGTAACAGGAAGTAGTTTCCTCTTCTTTTTTTCTTTCTTTTTTTTTCTGCTACTAGGTTGAACATGTACTGTGCCCCTTGTAATAGAGATGGCTGAATATCAAGTTGTTTTGCATCATTGTGCATCCTCTAAAGATGTGTCACTTCCTCATCTTCATGAAATTACATGCAGTTTTATAGAATGGTGTGGGGGGGGAGGTTGTCTGAAAAGCACCACTCCTTTAAATAATAGTTGTGAAGCAGATTCTACCACGCTGTTGTATATTCTACAAAGTGCAGATTGTTTCTGTCAAAAGACAAGCAGGAGAAAATGCACAAAGGACTAGATCACTGGGATTGAGGGGATTATCTGATATTATTAGCATTTTGGAGATTAATATATGGTCACGTTTGATACAGTAAGCTTTAAAATGTATCGCTGGACATTTCACTTTTGATGTGTTGATGTATGCATTTGTGCTGGAACTTGTACATGATGTAACCAAAGGATCCCTATGTGTGTAAATGAGTGTCACACATACACATTTTCTGTTAACTTCCAGGTTTGTGTTTTTTAACTGAATTGGTGGGGGGGGGGAAATCCTAGATTCAGTTTTTACATTTCCAGATATAGTGGCAAAAGTAGATCACTACAAAACACAACATGGTTTTAAGTCATTTTGACTGCAATTTGTGGTGGTAAAAGGCACCTCTCTAAAAACGTATGAGTTGCATTCAATACCAAACCTATGAGATTCTGCCTCCCATCCCGCCCCCTCCCTCCCAATCCATGAACTGCTTTGGCCATGACACAATTCTAGCATGCTCCTTTAAATGCAATCCTTTCCCAACCTGCCTTCTGCAACCTTCAAAAAATCTGATGCCTTCCAGGTATGTTGGGATTATGATCTCATCAATCTCAAGTGCTGTGGCCAATGGCCATGTTGACTGGGAATTATGTTCATTGCAGTTCCAATGGTGGGCACCAGATCAGAGAAGATTAATCAGGAAACAGTTATGAGAGGGGCTCAGAAAGCTCTCACTTAATACAGTATACAACACTTATAGCTCATATTGTGATAAATTAGTGTAAGAGTTACATGACAGCAAAAGAAGGTATTATAGAAATATCCACTACCCAATAGAAGAGAATCTATTACAAGTAGCAGTAGAAGTGAGTTTAGTACATATATGGTTAGGGATGGCCACAGGGCATACAGCTGCCCCAGTCCCTAGCTGATGGTCATGGTAATTAACGCTCTGGGGAGCTGAAGTCCAAAATATCTGGAAGATATCAGATCTCCTATCCAGAGATCTGATATAGTAACAAATATATCCTCTAGTAGCATTTAATCCTGGATATTCACAGCATTTGTAAGAGATTGCCGATATTTATACATCAAAGGTGTTATTCATTAATTTTCAAATAATCTATAGTAGTATATAACATGTGGTCTGTGTTTGTCCTTACACACACACAAAAATAGTTCACCAGGCATTCCTCAAACCAAATTATATAAATGTAGATAAAGGAAGATCATCTATACATAGAAATGGGTACATGATTTCAATATGGCCTCTGCCTGCTTACATGTAACAGCCAAGGTCACCATTTTGTGTTAAAGTTACTTCAGGCCAAATAGGTTGCACATTCTGCCAGGCATAAGCCTCTCTAAACCCTCTTTCTTTATCCTATAAAGGATCACTTGGCAGTAAACAAACAAACAAACAAAAAAAGCAAAGTATGGTTTTGCATATCAATTGGCATAATAGTTTATAATTTTATGTATGCAGGAGTGACAGCAGACTGCAACTCAACATATGTTCTGTGGCTCATGACAGCTTTTTAATGTTAACACAATTGGTGAAGTATTCCGTTTTAAATGTGAGTTCCATGCAGATTGCTTTACGTTTTTTAAAAATCAAGAGGGGAAAATTACACTAGTAAATGTCACTCGTCTCACCAGAGCCACCAACTGTACAAAGTACCTACTTTCTTTTGCGTAAATGTTTGAACTATCCCTGGCCAAGAAAAAGGTTTTAAGTACCCTACTGGGACAGATGCTAAGCGGCAACAATAGAAGCCACACTAATGCAATTCAGGTAACCCAATCCTGTTTCAAAAACACAGGCAATGCTAATTACAGCTCGGCTGAGTCAAATTTCTTGTGCCACTGCAACCCACAGGAACAGGTCAAAATCACATGTTATTCAAACCACAGTTATATCAAACTTCTCTATCAAAATCAGCACTTGAAACCAAGACAGGAATTTTCAAAGATTAGCCAGTTCATATTCAAAGTGGCTGACAAGGCAACATTTGTAAGAGTAAACCTTACAAATGAAAATAAGCAAGATTTTTAGTTTCACGAAAAATCTTTATGAAGCAACTAAAAGTACTGCATGATCAAAGTCTGTACAATTATGGTATGGTGGATCACCAGACCAAGAGCTGTGAGGAAAACAGAAGACAGAAAGGATAGTCTGGATAAAAAAATAAAAACATTTCTTAGTAAAAAGCACAAAACAAGCGCTTTGCTTGTTTGCTTTGCTTATATAATTTAAGCAATCTTTGCAACACAACAAATCAAGAAACTTCTATTCATCTACATTTCTCAGTGCACTGGAAGCAGAAAATAATAGTTATCAGCTTCATAAAATGAAGGATTTTAAATCATGGTTTAAAATGAGATTTTATCATGGTTTCTTCTCAGTTTAAACAACAATAGAAATTTATTTTTGTCTGTTTATGTTCTGGGAAAATGAAAGAGGATTTCAAGGATCTTTTGAATACAAAAATACAGCAGACAGTGCCATATTTAATATCTTATAGCTCTCCAATAATTTCTTAATTATTTAGCTACTACAGGAATGCCAGAGTCTGGATCTAGCCTAGAATGATTACACAGAATCCCACAATGTACCAAAAAAAAAGTTTCCTCAACACTTAATGTGCAATTGATACATTATGTAATGTCAGTTGGAATTTACTTAAAACATTTACTTACTCTACAAAATTATATAGTTTTTTGTTGTTTTTTTAAAGGAGAGAGAGAAAACTGTACTAAAAGCACAACGGGAAGTAAATTCTGTTGAGCTAAATGGAGCTTCCTCCCTAATATGCATGTTTAGAATTATACATAAGAGGCAATTATTGCTTTTACATCATGTTTTCTCGTCACAGAACAACATAATTTCACTACATTTCAGTACACATCTAGTACAACTCAACAAAGAAATGTTTATGAACTGAACACAGTTTACAATATCTTTGATGCCTTCCCCTAACCTTATGTTCTCCGGCTATGTTTGGACCACAGCTCCCAGAATTCCCAACTGCCCTGGCTACAAATCTGGAATTGACAGACCCAATTCATCTGAAGGGTGACAATAAGGTAGATCTAGATTTATTTATTTATTTATTTATTTATTATTTAAATTTGTATACCGCCCTTCTCCCGAAGGACTCAGGGCGGTGAACAGCCAAAATTAAAATACATGCAATATAAAATTTAAAATAATTTAAAAGCAGAATTAAATCGAATTGTAGATAATACAACAAGGGACATTTGATTCTAAACTGATCCAGCAGCCTGCTTAGCTGATGGCATTCAGTATCAGCTCTGCATGGTCACCTAACTCTCACAGAGTAATTGGTGACACTGTAACAGTTTATCATATGTTTCTGTATGACAAGGTTCAATAATTAAAATGTAAAAAAGACTATTTGGTGACAGCCCAGCCTAATTTGCAAGCCTGCTGCGTGCAAATTATATAGACCAACTCGGTGAATTTATTGTTCTATAGTGATTTATTCAGTCATGCCAGATTAGTAATTTGGGTTGGTTTAGAAGCCATAATAGTTAAGACAGATAAAATGAATTAATCAACTAACAATACAATCAAAACTGCACTCGAACCAAAGGGAACAAGCTGGAGACCTTAAAGAAGAAGGGAGAGGAAAAGAGACTTGAGGTGGGGGGGGAGGGATCTTAAGTTTGCCCATCTCTTAATGCACAAATAAAATAAACCTTACAATTTAGATGGATTGCATCCAAGAGCACTACTGTAGCTAAAAAGTGATAATGCTTCAAACATTTTTCAAAGTAAAAAGTTAAATATTTATAAGCACCCAACCACATTTCATAAATCACTAACTTATTATTTTATATTCCCGATGCTTTCCCAGGCACAGCATGCGAATCAAGGCACGGAAAGTTGCAGAGAAAAATATCCTCCACATGAACATGAATCAGAGTTTCTCACCAGAACCATCCACCAAGCCCTCCCTCCCCCAGTTCCACCCCATCTGGCCTTTCCCAGAGAATCAAAACCTCACAGCCTCGCCAATTCCAAACAAGCCACAAAATGACGCCCACAGACAAGCATCGCTCTTCGGCCATTAGCAATACAGGACAGACGTTCCAGTAATAACGTGGTGCAACGAACAAACAGACAAATACACTCTCTCAAAATAAATCTACACCAAAGAACGGCAGCCCTTACCTGTCAATTATCACCGGATCTGAAGGAGTCTCATTTCTGTTGCCGCAGCTTTTCTTGTCACAACAGCGGCTATGGAACAAGAAGGAGAGGATTTAGTGCAGCTATTACACTCTAAAAACCATCATTACAGATACAGAAAGGATGGTATTGCTGGCTAGAGTTACCGCTCTCTCCCTGCCTGGAAATCAGTCGAATACGGTAGGTCACATATGGGTTAATTGCTAGGTTTGACTTCTTTCACAGCTGGCACACAACAACTGCCACATACACGCAGAAAAGGGAAAAGGGAGAACACAACTTTTACAGTTCATAATGCTAGGTTTCTAGGCTGATACTAATGACCTCCAAGTACATTGCAGATGGTTCAAGGTGCCCTCAAACAAGGGTAGTAGCAGCCACCCACAGGGAAGCAAGAAAAGATTCTGTGCAATGATTTTTTTTGCCCTTCAAAATCTTGAAAAATCTCAGTGTTTTCCAAATGAACAGACATCATGATTCCAGAAATCTTTCTGAATGAAAAGAGCAAAAAGATGCCCAGAATCCCAGATTATGAGCCAACAACTTTAAAAAAAGCATAGCAAATGTAATAGTTCCCAGAGATATTTATTTAAACTAAAGAAAATAATGAAATAAATGCAATGTAATCATAAGTGGCAGATCTGTATTTACAGTACTGTTGCATATCATAATATAGTTCCATACATGATATAATTCTGCTCCAACATATCCCCTCCCCCCATCCTACCCCAAATACTGAAAAAGGGTCAGATTGCATGGTTTGTTTGTTTCCCCCCCCCCCCACCACTGTTGCTATTCTGGGGAAATTATCATATTTACTTGAAAGGAAGATAAAGCTCAGTTAAACATACACACAGACACTGCTAAAATTATATTTAAAAAGCCTAATTTTCTATTAGTGAAGTGAAACTAAAATTAATTTGACTTCCATCATAAAGGTAAGTTGTTGAGGAAAGGGGAAATGTATTTATTTTTTCTCTTTCAGATAAATATAGTAAATGCCAGGACTATTATGCCATTAGGTAAAATCAACAAAGCCAGAATAGAATCCCTTTTCCTCCACTTTTTATTGAGACAAATAAAGGAAGGCTTTAGTTCATAAAGACTAAAAAATATGGCACGAACAAAATCTGACTGGCACCATAAATCTTGCAAAAAATTAGCACTTTCTGCAACCCTATTCTAATTTTGTAATAGTTTGGATTATCTTTCCCATAAAATGACCCCCCTCAACCAGGTGTCATGGCCTTTGGTTATTGAAGATGATGGGAATTAACATCAAGTATCTTAGGGAAAATATTAACAAGAGCCTTGATAGTACAGTAGTCTACGCACCCTGTTATTAACACAGCTGCCTGCAATTTCTGCTGGTTCAAATCTCTCCAAGGCTCAAGGTTGACTCAGCCTTCCATCCTTTCTAAGGTAGGTGAAATGAGGACCCAGTTTGTGGGGGCAATAAGCTGACTTTGTATAAAATATACAAAAGTATGAAGGCTATTGCTTAACGCATTGTAAGCTGCCCTGAGTCTCCGGAGAAGGGTGGCATATAAATCAAATTAAAAAAAAAAAAAAAAACCCCAGAACACAGGGAAATAATTCAGAGACTTTTCACAGCAGACCAGTTCTCATATCAGACTAAGCCTGAAAGATGGCTTAGAGGTGAAATATCATGCATACCAGCTGGTTTGGTCCATAAATTCATATAATCTGGTAGCCAAATGGAAGATTCTTCTGCCTGGGAGAAGGCAGAGACTTATCCAGGCAGTTGCCAAGAGTCAAGACTAATTGAAAGGCAAAGAAGACAGAAGAGGCGGAAAAGGAGGTGGAAGCTAAAACCTCAAAATCTCTCAGAAACAAGCAAAAAAGCAAACAAACCACAGAACAATAGATTTGGAAGGGGACTTGGGGTCTTCTAGTCCAACTCCCTGCTCAAGCAGAAGACCCTATACCAGGGGTGGGCAAATGTGGCTCTTTTACAACCTGTGGACTTCAACTCCCAGAATTCCTGAGCCAGCTAAGCTGTCTCAGGAATTCTGGGAGTTGAAGTCCACAGGTTGTAAAAGAGCCACATTTGCCCACCCCTGCCCTATACCATTCTGGACAAACCTCCAGTGATGAAACACCCACAAATAAATAAAATAAATAAGAAATGAATATTATATTATTGTTTCAATCACCTTTTTAAATTCCGGATAATTGCAGAATTAATAAGTTAACAGTGAATGAAAGTATTAACTTCAGTTTACAGCAGACAAAGTAAAATCCATTGAGAAATCCACTCCAGAACTTACTCATCATTTTTGTTTTAAACAGCTGTCTAAAGAATGAACAGTAAAGGTAGACAGGTTCTGGTTTGTACCGCATTGAAATTGTAAGTGTATCAGGTAGTTTTAGGAAAGTTATTTCCTTGAAACCTGCCCCTCCACAGACATATATAACAGCTATGAAATTCTAGAAAAATATTCATCACATTAGTATGTCATTAGGAATTAAACTGAATACAGAAAATTGTGGATTTGGAGCACATTCTCATGATGAGCCAAATGTACAGCACATTTTGTAAATAAGTTTCTGAAGTTATTTCTGCTACCTTCCACGCATGCAGAGCAGCATAAGCTGGCATGAGAACATGTTCTCCTTTATGAGGCAATTGTGAAAGGAACCATGGCTTACAGTGACGCAGAATGAAATTCTAATCCAGTTTGGCTTTCCAATCAGACTCATCTATGATTTTTCTTCCTTGACATGTTTCTCTTTGTTTCCTTCTCTTCAGAGGATCCCTATTCGTGAACATTCCATTTTGATGATATAAACTTATAATTTTATTATACTGTTAGTCTTGATCAAAGGCACTGTTGAAAGTTGTTTAGGAATTATGTATCTATAACAAGCTATTTTGAAGCACAGGCCTTCACTGTTTCATTTCTGGAATGAAGAAATTTCATCTTAGAGGGAGCAAGCTGTCTTTCACACCATATGGCTAATGGTAGTGCATAGCAATTAGCTGGGCTGATTAATGGGGAACAGACTCTAATTTTATGCTTATAATTGAAACTGCATTTGGACCCCTGTTGCAGATTCAGCACATCCCAATCTGCGCTTACCACAGTTAGAAAGCCAGTGGCAGCAAATCTAGGAATGTGTAAGCAACAAAACCCAAGTTTCCTTATTTGTCAAAAATATGGTTGCAATACACTCGATCAGAGATTTGTGGGATAACATTAGGCAGCCTCATATAAGTATACTATTATGATGACCTTCTGTGAACATCTCAGAACACTAAAATTGAACCTAGATATTTTAAGATATTTGCTTCTTGTTTTAAGTAAAAATCAGGATGGTTTTTTTTTTTTTCCAGTTTGCTTATGTGGCTTTGCAAAACAGAGAAAAACAATAAAGATCTATTGAAATCAGCAATACATCTAAATGGTGGCAACACTGAGTAAAGGGTTTTCAAGTCAAGAGACATCAGCAGCATTGGAACTGCTTGCCAATGTAAAGGTAGCTGAAATAATCATGGGTTTTTCCCTAATCTATGAATAGCTCTATATCTTACCTCCACCTTGACTGCTTTTTTTTGTAATGCTAATTTTTGATTATATACTATATAGGACTTGTCTTATGAGTTCTTTTTAAATCTCTATGACTATGTAAGGCACTATATAAATGCATAAACAAATAATAAACTTGGATTATACTGGAACTGCACGTATGTATTGTATGTATGTATGTATGTATGTATGCATGTATGTATGCACTACTACAAATCTTCTCATAGTTCCTATCACCATCTCCTCCCACTTATGACTATATGACTGTAACCTTGTTGCTTGTATTTTTACGATTTATATTGACTGTTTCCTAATATTTGATTGCTTATTTGTACCCTATGACTATCATTAAGTGTTGTACCTTATGATACTTGATGAATGTATCTTTTCTTTTATGTACACCGAGAACGTATGTACCAAGACAAATTCCTTGTGCGTCCAATCACACTTGGACAATAAAGAATTCTATTCTATTCCATTCCATTCCATTCTATTCTATGTATTTATGTACTCAGACACTTTTTGGCACACCTGATTCTGTTGACACAACACTTGAAGATTTTGGTCGATGCTAAAATTCTATACACAAGTAATGGGAAATTGTTTTCCTATCTAAAAAAGAACATAAGGCAAGCTACTCTCCAATAATACTAAGACTAAGTGATTACAAGACAATTATCTCCTGTTTTTTTATTAACATCAGAAACTTGGACATCTACTAAAAACCTGTCGAATATTTACCAATTTACATTCTGCCTAATCCTTTTTCTGCGATATTAGCTTATCCATCCATGTTAATGTCATCTACAGCTCTTACTGACCTTCCCCCAACTTTTCTTTTGTTCAAATCTTTCTGAACATGATAAATAATATAAAACCAAAGAATAGTGTTCCTTATGTTGTACTTCATTCCAGGAACTGTTTAATGAATTTTACTTGGTATAGTTAATACAACTGCTAGTCACAAATCCATGAAGTTACTCCCAGATACTTTGAACTAGAAACAGGTAAACAAGTGTTCAAGAATACAAAAACATCTAATAAGTACATATATTGCAGGAGAGCTAAGAGGTCATTATTAAAGAATGGCAGCAACTGTTGCATATCAAAATGAGTCCTATTTATAGGAAAATTAAGTTTCAAAATTCTTGCACCTCCCTCTGAGCAATGCAACATGCTAGATATTTCTATCTTTTGTGTGAGAGACACAGTTTCCATCAGTCTTGTTCAAGGTAATAGACTGCTTTATTATCAAACTTTTTAATCTTCTCTGTGTGGGAACTAGCATCTAGCTTACTAGATTTTCCTCTATTGGATTTCTGCCTATCACCTAAGCAAAATATAGTTTGTGGCCAAAAAAACTGAGTATCAACTGTAAAAGAGGCCACATTTCACTTTGAGAATTCAGACCATTACTGAAGTACTATATACCATAACTAGATTTCTTTAAAATCAGGAAGTGTTGAATAAATCATAATGGCCTGATTCACACACAATTTAAACCCAGAATAGTGGATTCACAAATCACACTAATCCAACAACAAAAACCTCAACAAAACATTATAATTTAACTTGATATATACACTCAGTCACTGAGTCATACTTCAGGTCACTTAATCTGGAAAACATTATTTCCCTTAAAATTTCATTATATGAATAATTCTTGAAATATATGATAATGCTAATTTCATTTAATGGGTGAGCCACAACTGATAAACTACATTGATGAGCCTTACTTATAAAAAGCAAACTTTCTCAAATTTGTACTCTACAGTTGTGTTTGATGCAACTCTTCTTAACCCTGGACAACCTGGAGTAAAAAAAAAACATTTTCCAAAGCAACAAAAAGACAGTAGGCTGAGGAAATTAAGCAGTCCAAAAGGAGGGAGGGGCTGATCCTGGCCTATTCTTTTAGCACAATTTCTATAATTTATGCACTTGAATTTTAAAAAAATAATCCGTTTTCATTCCTGAAATCATCAGCTGTCATAATTTGTGCCACTGAACGTATCTGAGCTGCTAATTGTTGCTGATTTAGCTATTATTCATAGCTACACAAACCAATTCAACCACTGGCTGCTGAAGTATGATCCTTCATCATCCCCAAAGATGAAATGCATATTTGTTAATTAAAAGGGGAAGAAGATTGTGCTTGAATCACCCAGGGGGACTCATCTTGCTCAGTTCACTTTATACCTGATTCTATGAAGCTGGGTCTGAATACAGAATCACATTGAAAGTTGGGGGAGAGGGGTACACAACAAGCATAACCTTTACAAAGGTCCAACAACCCAAGAGTCTGCTTGAATTGAGCAACCAATAAACTTGGACAGATAAAGTAGGTAGTCCTGCAGGTAGTCCTCAACTTACAAACATTCATTTAGCAACCATTCAAAGATACAAAAGCATTGAAAAAGTTACTTATAACTGGTCCTCACATTTATGACAATCACAGCATCCTATGGTCACATGATCAAACTTTGGATGTTTGGCATCCAGCTTGTACTTATGATGGTTGCAGTGTCCTAGGGTCATGGGTTGGCCATCTGTGACCTTCCCAGCCGTTTTCAGAGTCAGTGGAGGAACCTGGATTCACTTAATGACCATATGACTCACTTAACAGTAATTGCAGTAATTCACTTAAGGTTGTAAATTCAGTTACAACTCACTTAATGACCTTGTTTAGCAACAGAAATTCTGGTTCCAACTGTTGTAAATCAAGGACTACCTGTATAGATTTCCTTCATGGACTACAGACCCTTCTTTTCACTCTGCCCCCACTACGTCCTTCATAAGTAGTCTACAAGACACATCCCTGCAGAAAATAAGGACCATGTTCTTGTTTACCTGAAGTATCAAAGATTCAAAGGCTCTTATGAAAGCAATGACCTAATGGTTATAATTTTCCTAGTGAAGGTCATGTTGGATAAATGCTCATAAGTATCTGAGTTTCAGATGTTCTCCCTCTCTCTCTCTCTCTCTCTCTCTCTCTCTCTCTCTCTCAGAAACATTTTCCATGAGGATAAAGGTTCCAATCACTAAATGGCATTTTACTCCATATTATTCAAGATTAAGCTTGAATAAGGTCATTGAAACGAGATCATTTACCCTGTTTCCCCCAAAATAAGACATCCCCTGCAGGGGTGGGTTCTACTTACCTTTACTACCGGTTCGCAATGGGATCGTGCATGTGAGCGAGCGAAGCAAGCGCGCACGCCTTGCTTCTGCGCATGCGCAGATCGCCAATGACGACATCCGTGGTGGTGGGCGGGGCCTCCTGCCGTTTTACTACCAGTTCTTGCGAACCGGTCCAAACCAGGGGCAACCCACCACTGATCCACTGATAATAAGACCAATCGGGCTTTTGAACGCATGGCAAATAAGGCCAAGCACTTATTTCAGGGTTCAAAAATATAAGACAGGGTCTTATTTTCGGGGAAACATGGTAGTGACACATTTGCTGATTATTACACTCACACTGAGCAGATTTGGTGGTTCTTCAAAGGAAAGTTGAGAATGCTTGAAATCCCAAAATAAATTTAGATTCAACCAAGCTTTGGAGAGAGAGAGAAAGGGGGAGGGGAGGGAGAGGGAGAGAGGGAGTGAGGGAGGGAGAGGGAGAGGGGGTGAGGGAGAGAGAGATATTTTTTCTTTGCTAATTAAGATATGACAGATTTTTCTTACCTGCACATTATTTCATGGGTGAGCAGAACTCTGCACATTTCTGGATTCTTGTCTTGGCCTTCATATATTATCGCCTAGAGGAAAAAGACAGGGGAATTTTATCTGAATAGTATTTTTATTTTTTTTGTCACAAAGTGAATGTAGTTGGAGAAAATGATCATTGTCACGGGACATGAATGCATAACTACGTTGCAAACCAGCGACCTCGGCATAAACAGACTGCATCCTTGAGGAGAAAAATAAAAACACAAAAATCCCATCTCAGGATTTGTTGCTGGAGAGCCCAGAAGCTGAACTGAGTAAGCTTCAATTCAGCATTCTTGCTTCTGTTTTAACCGTCACATTATGCACATCTTCTGAGCAGTGCACAGGACAGGGTTTTTTAGTAGTCAAGACAACCACAATGTTCTTTTCAATAAAACATAAACTTAATAGTGTTAAAAAAAAAAAAACTCGAAAGACTCAGAACACTGGGGAGACTATTCATAAAATGAAAAGTGACTATATTTTTAATTCAAAAAAACATGGTTGTGTACTTAACTAGCTGCAGCTTGTGTACAGAACCTGATTCACAAGTCCTGTCTGGTTAAATGTGCTAACAAATTAAAGGAAACTACATTCCTGTAAATGCAAATAAACAACTTCTAGAAAACAAGAGGATAAAGCAGGATAGGCCTCTCAGTATCTTTCGAGCCTTGTCAATATAAAGAACTGACTTCCTACACCAGGGCTGTCAAACTCCTGGCCACGGCCACGCTCGGTTTAGCGAAGGTGAAAAAAGTCCCGATACGTCACGTGACAATGCTGTGACAACGTGAGGTTTGACACCCCTGTTCTAGACCAGTGTTTCTCAACCTTGGCAGCTTGAAGATAAGTAGAACTTCAACTCCTAGAATTCCCTAGCCAACCAAATACTGAGCACAGCTAAAAAAGATAAACTACTCCATCTGTGTTTTGGTGATTGTCTTGGGTCAGTCAAGAACTGTCTGTCTTTGGGCTCCAGTTCCTTCTGTCTATATATCTTAGTTTTACTCACTGGCAGGCAACGTCAAAAGGGATCAGTCCCCTTGGAATCTTAAGAGTTCTGTTTTACTTTGATTATGTGAACACAGCCATAGCAGAGGTGGGTTTCAGCAGGTTCTGACCAGTTCTGGAGAACAGGTAGTGGAAATTTTGAGTAGTTTGGAAAACCGGTAAATACCACCTCTGACTGGCCCTGCCCCCATCTATTCTCTGCCTCCCGAGTCCCAGCTGATCGGGAGGAAATGGGGATTTTGCAGTAACCTTCCCCTGCCATGCCCACCAAGCCATACCTACCAAGCCATGCCATGCCCACCAAGCCACACCCACAGAACCGGTAGTAAAAAAAATTGAAACCCACCACTGAGCCATAGTGACCACAGGGCAAAGAAACTCTGTAGTTGCTTGTTTTGGCTTAGTTTGAAATGTGAGTCGTTCACCCATTGGGATTTAACACTGTGTGAGAACCAGCCATTATGGTCTGCTCAGTATGCTGTGGCTTAAAAACTCCTACTTTAGAAGCCACAAGGTGAAACTGGACTTCCTCTCCCTCTAAATTCAGTTGTGAATTGAAAGTTAATGCTTTCAATGTCCACCTACACTCTACTATACTATACTCTACTATATGGCAGACAGAGATTGGACTCTACGATTCTATAAAATGGACACAGGAATAGACTGTGAAGATTTAAAAAAAAAAAAAAAGAGGCCATTTAGCCAAATGCAGCTTTTCCAGTGACAATTCCACTCTACAATTTAGGCAACATTTGTCTACATGGCAACCACAGATTCTTTATAAGTGCTTGCATTCTACACAACTCTAAACCATAACATGGCTCTGCATACAACCGTTTTGTCAGTGGGATGGGAAAGGAGAAATCTTCCTGGCAGCCCCCACCCGCTCCCTAGAAAATAGTTTGCTGTGCAACTATCAGCAAGCCCAAACGGGCACAGGTTTCACCTGATAATTGCCAACCAAACTGCCAATAAAGAATCGAGGCAAGGGACATGGCACCTATTGGCCAAAGGAAAGGAAAAGGCCATTTTGCTGAAATGTCTAGCAAGCAATTTATTGAGGTCCAATAAAAAGTGGCAAACAGCTTCATGCAGGGAACACCGCTGTGCAGAGGCTGATATTTTTTCCCGGGCTGAAGATCACATTTGCAATACTTAACCTTTCCTGCCATCTTGCTACCTTGTTAAAAGTCGACCATTAGTGAGTGCCTTTTACTAGGATGAGCAGTTACATTGGAGGGCAGGGGCTCCTGTGTTTTTTCTTTATTAGCATTCCCCAAGTTTGCTATACCAGATAGGAAAAGAGGCCTCTTCTCAAATTTGCTCCTCCTCAAGGCAACAGATGAAGGAATACAAGCCTTCTTGTCTGTTTATGTATCACAAATCACATATTTTCACATTTCAAATCTTTCCTAATTTGCTCACAGTTCATATGTCAAAGAGATGATGTGGGTTTTTCTTCGTTTGTTTTTAATGTCTCCATTATAAATGCAATGACATTTCTAGATCTCCAAAACACTTCAGGAATCAATCACCTATGCCACAGTCCTCTAGAATGGAAAACCTAACCAAATGCCGCTTCCATCAACCCAAAATCCTATTACAGGTAGTCCTCGGCTTACAACAGTTTGTTTAGTGACCGAAGTTACAGTGGCACTGGAAAATGTGACTTATGAGGGTTTTTCACACTTACGACCATTACAGCATCCCCATGGTCACATGATCAAAATTCAGATGCTTGGCAACTGATTCATATTTATGACAGTTGCAATGCCCAGAGTCATGTGATCACCTTTTGAGTCCCTCTCACAAACAAAGTCAATGGAGAAGGCAGATTCGCTTAACAACCATACTATTAACTTAAGAACTGCAGTGATTCGCTTAACAACTGTGGCAAGAAAGGTCGTAAAATGGGGCAAAACTCAATAACTGTCTTGCTTCGCAACAGAATTTTTGGTTTTGATTGTGGTCATAAGTTGAGGACTACCTGTACTGACTCAGCCTTCCATCCTTCCGATCCATTTTATCGATGGAGGACCCAGATTGTTGGGGGAAATAGGCTGACTCTGTAAACCGCTTAGAGAGAGTTGTAAAGCACTGTGAAGCGTTATATAAATCTAAGTGCTATTGCTACTGTATTCAGATAATTCTCTTTCTTATATAAGCCTTTAAATTAGTTACCCTACCTGGGAGAATTTGGTCCATTCAACAGCTCAAGAGTGAATACTCCTCATGGATCCTACTCTTTCAAAATTCGTCTAAGTCTTTTTTAAAGACTTTTAAAATATAGTAAGAATTTGGGACCCTTCATCTCTTTGTGTGCTTACATTCAGGTATTTTATAACTCAGTATAGCTTGATGTTCTGGTCCTGATTGGGCTCAGCGAGAAGACATTTCCATATTATCCGATGCCAACAGCATCACTCAGTCTTTTTTGGCACATCCTTTTTAAAGGAATAGAAGATCAAAATTCTACCTTTCAGACCAATGCCTCTGGTTATGGCCTCTTTAACATAAACAATCAATAAAACTCTCTAATACGTGTGGAGGTGGGGGGAGGGCTAAATTTAAACAGCCTTGGCCAACAAGCAGAAGCATCACATAACCCATAAAATGAGGTAATTTGGCACAGCTGTGACTTTGCCGTTGAAAAGGCTGCCCACTGAAGGCAAGAGGAAAAGGGAGGGGGGGCAGAACAGCAGTCATGAATCTCAGCCAGCGAAAGTAATTGCTTAAACATAGTATTATCACACTCCAGCACAGTACACTATATTTTAATAAGATTTAGTAGTGCCATAAATAATAGCATTGATGTTGCTGTAGTCTTGTACAGCATTGGATGCCAACCTTACTTTTTGAAATGAGAAACTCAAGCGCAGCCTAAACGGCAGAGAGTTTGAGATCTTGAAGATATTAGGAATCTAACTCTGTGCCCTTCCAACCTTAAATAGGGTTTGGTACCCCAATATTCCCCACCACTCATCCTATTCTCAGTGTATTTAGCATTTCTTGAAACTTACAACAGTCCCTGCCAACCCGCTGAACTTCTTTGGAAAGTCAAACAAGGGAGTGCAAGGTCATCTTGCCACTCAGGAGCAAATGGAAAAAGTCATTTGAAAGTGGGCCCTGCTCAGAATTCCCCACATCTTAAAAAGCAAATGCTTGTTACATAAGTAAGAGCACGTATGGAAGCACAACTAATGCTTTTAGTTGAACAAGAGGCCATGATTATGGCCTCTCCTGTGACCTGTCCAATGCAGGCAGAGGTGGTCACTGACCTCCCTGAACATCAGAGATGTAGAAGCTTCTTGGATGAAAAGCGAAACATCTTCAAAGAAAAACCAGAAAGTCTAGTTGCCTCTTGAAAAAGCACCTTTGGGACAATCCTGACCTGGATGACTAAGAATCTCCATAGACAGTAGACCCTGAGGTTAAAAGTGTTCATGGTGATCCAGCAATGGCTTGCAGAGGGGAGATTTCTGAGGTACAGCCAAGAATTTGTGTGTAAAGGTGTTGGCATGCTTATACGCTATAATGATACACTGAAATACCTCCAAATAATTACAAACATGTAGGAGATGACCAGGCTGCTGCTGAGCCCAAATGAGAACTAAGAGCAGTCCACCTTGAATTCCATTGACTCTTATCTACCACCAATTTGCTTTGACTGTTAGTAGTTCAGATTCTTGTAGAGAGTTTTAGCTTACAATAAACCTATATATTCAGTTGAACTGCCTAAACGTGATTTTATGTACTTTTCAAAACATCTGGGAAAATGATGAAGAATATAAAGTTCTGGATCTAGATAATGACATGCAAATAAATCCTATGAAAATGCTAGGAACTGGTTTCAACATAATGTGTTGAGATTGATGCTTTAATCACTAAATAAGAATGCTATTTTTGTAAAATAGCAATCATAACACTTTTCTCATGCAAACAGGGGCTTATGCCAATCATTGAATACATACCTATATGCAGAATTTAACCCTGGTAAATAGCAAATCATATTTGTCGAAAGAAACATACTTCCACACAT